GGCTAGGAGCCGGGGCTGCCCGGGCGGACGGATGGCTAGGAGCCGGGGCTGCGCGGGCGGACGGATGGCTAGGAGCCGGGGCTGCGCAAGGAGACGGATGGCTAGGAGCCGGGGCTGCCCGGGGGTACGGATGGCTAGGAGCCGGGGCTGCCCGGGCGGACGGAAGGCTAGGAGCCGGGGCTGCCCGGGCGGACGGATGGCTAGGAGCTGGGGCTGCCCAGGGGGACGGATGGGGCCATCAGCTCACAGATGCCAGGAGGCAGAGCAGCAGCAGCTGCAAGTGGGCCAGCAGAGTGAGGTCTTCGCAATGGCACACTTTCTAGGTCCTTAAGGGGGAGCCAGCAGCATCCTTTTTTTCTCAGTGGCTGACCATTTTGCTGACCACATGGGATCACAATGCACAGGTACCACAAAACCATGCTTTAAAGCCACTTCCAGAGCACCTCCTTCACTCCAAGGAGGTACAGTTTGTGCAGGCATTGGAGAAAGCAGGCAGTATTACACTGAGAGCCAAAAATTAGTGCATCGAATCCATGTAGATGCCCTCTGAAAATGCACACAGTGAAATGTCCAAAGTAAAAGAATTAAGAGATGAGGTCATTAAGGGTGTTAGTCATGAAACCGGAGCCTCATCCACAGGGTGAGTGACCTCACAGAGGCTCTGGAGAGAACGTGTGAGGGTACTGCATGGGAAGACGACATGAGGAACAGCTCCCCACTGCACCTGCCTGCTGGCACCTTGATCTTGGACTTCCAGCCTCCAGAACTGTGAGAAATAAATTTCTTGTCTATAAATCATCCAGTCTGTGGTATTTTGTTACAGAACATGACTGGACTAAGACAGGAAGGACAGCATGGCCTCGGCTGACCTCCCCACCCTCAGCAGCAGCACCAGCTGGTAGGACCTCACCTGCTGCCCGCTGCCCTGGAGACACATGGCTGTCCTGTGCTTTCCCCTGTTCTCTGTCCTTTTCTTATGGCTTAGATCTACAAGGTGCCCAGAAACCTTGAGTGTTTGGAAGGCCACTGGAGCACAGCTCGCTGCGGTCCGGGTGGATGAATGCATTGATGACCCAATGCGCTGTCAGGGACGGGCCCTGCTGGAGGTGGTCACTGGCAGAGTGACCCCAAAGGATTCATTCTCATTCCCTGCTCCTTCCTTTCCTCTCTGCTTTACGGCTGTCATCACTTGAACCTCTTCCTCTGTTGTGCCATTTCTGCCTTGAAGCCAGCCAGCCACATCCAAGTCCTCTGAAACACGAGTAGAGAGAAACCTCTCTTTTACACTGAAGTGTCAGGTATTTTATCCCAGTAACAGAAAAGTGACTAATGAACCACCTTCCTGGCCCTTTTATGGCTCATGAAAGAGGACAGGCATTCAGGAGGTGGGCCGCTCCATCCCAAGTAACTCACCTATTCTTTTAAAAAAATAATGAGAAGCCAATTAACACGCCTACATTTTCACATGGCATAGGTTCCTAGAGTCAAATTGCTATTTCGTATGGCCAACTTTATATCCACAAGCTACAGGATTAGTGATGGGAGGAGAGAGTGTGGGACTTGAAGACAAAAGCCTTACTACAAGAACACAGGTGGCCACCCCACACACAGACTCTGTGCCCGGGTCTCTACCTGTGCCCAAGGGCTGTGCCCTGGGAAGAGGACCTATGCCTGCTTCGTCAGGGATACAGGAACAAAAAGATTCTTCCATAAAATCTGGGCTTTTGGGCCCAAACCATAGAGACACTTCAATGAAATTGAAGGTGGTCAGGGACTGAATCCTGACTTCGGATCACCATTCCCTACCTAGACCATCACCCAGTTAGTGGATAGGGAAAGGGGACTTACTTTAACAAACAGGGTCAAACTATGCATGCTGTGGTGTAGTACTTAGGGTTCTCTGGAGAGACAGGACTAACCTAACACACATAGATATACAGGAGACTTGTTATGGCAATTGGCTCACTCAATTTTGTAAAGTTTACCATACAACGTCTTTGAACTGGAGACCCAAGGAAGCCAAGAGTCTGAGGCTCAGAGAAGCTGGGGGTCATTGGTGTAAGTCTGCAGACCCAAGAACCCAGAGGTCAGATATCCCAGCATGCTCATGCAGAAGAACATGGATGACTCCTTGAAGAACAGAGAGTGCATTGTCCCTTCCTCCACCTTGTCATCCAATTCTGACCCTCAGAGGAATGCTGCACACTCCCTTGGATGAGAATGGAGCTTTTTTATTCCATTTAGGGTTAAAATGTAACTGTCTTCTGGAATATTCGTTCTCCACACACACAGAGACACACCTATAAATAATACTGTGTGAGTTCTTTGGGCATCCTACAGCTCCCATCAAATTG